GTGCTGTCGATGAGCACAATGCAATTCTTCACCAGGGTCTTGGTACGGACCAGCTCGTTATTAGACGCATTATAGACAACATCAATGATCCTTGTTTTTCGAGTACAACCTGCTCACAGGAGAAATTTGGAATCAAGTAAACTGGAGGACAAAATTGCCCTGGCGCCCTCCTCCAGGTTCTTCAGCTCCGTGAGGCCTTAAGGAGAAACAAGGGAACTCTCAGTCTTTAGGAGCCATGGGGCATCAGTCTTCCACAAACCCCTAACCCACATTTCTAGTGATGTTTGGAAACCACAGTCTTTATCAGTCCCAATCTACCAGGCTGCAGAGTTATCAGAGCAGGTGGGGTGTGATGTCTCATGCCTGTAATCCCAGCACTCTGGTAGGTCCAGGAGGGTGGATCACCTGAAGCCAGGAGTTTTGAAACCAGTCTGGCCAACATGGTGAAACCCAGTTTCTACTAAAAATATAAAAATAAGCCAGGCATGATGGCACACACCTGTAATCCCAGCTACTTGGGAGGTTGAGGGAGGAGAATCACTTGAACCCAGGAGGCAGAGTTTGCAGTGAGCCAAGATCGTGCCACTGGTACTCCGGCCTGAGCAACAGAGACCCTGTCTCAAAAAAAAAAAAAAGATCAGGACAGAACAGCCTGGGTGGAGAGAACTCTCCAGCTACCTTAAGATCTTTCAGCAATGAGAAACTTCAAATGCTTTGGTCTAAGCCAGAGACCTCCTTCCAAAAGCACTACCAGAGTCTCACTCTGTTGCCCAGGCTGGAGTGCTGCAGTGGGCAATTTTGGCTCAATGCAACCTCCAACTCCTGAGTTCCAAGCAATTCTTGTGCCTCAGCCTCCCAAATAGCTGGGACTACAGGTGCACGCTACCATGCCCGAATAATTTTTTTAATATTTTTAGTATAGATGGGGTTTTGCCATGTTGGCCAGGCTGGTCTCCAACTCCTGACCTCAGGTGATCCACCCACCTTGGCCTCCCAAAGTTGTGGGATTACAGGCATGAGCCACCACTGCTGAATCTTAAGGTTTAGGTGGCCGGGTGAGGTGGCGCATGCCTGTAGTCCCAGCTACTTGAGAGGCCGAGGCTGCAGGGGAGTTCTGGGCTGTAGCCTGCTATGCCGATTGGGTATCCACACTTAGTTTGGCGTTAATATGGTGACCTCCCGAGAGGGGGTATCACCAGGTTGCCTAAGGGGGGTGAACCCGCCCAGGTCGGAAGCGGAGCAGGTCAAAACTCCCGTCCCAATCAGTAGTGGGATCGAGCCTGTGCATAGCAACTGCCCTCCAGCCTGAGCAACATAGGGAGACCCTGTCTCTTAAAAAAGAGAGAGAGAGAGAAAAAAAAAGGTGAGTTTTCCCACCCACTCCCAAAGGGTTTCACTCACACTCTGAGCCCCAGGAGAAATTCCCCACGTCCAGCCTCAGGGCACGGTATTTCTTGTTACCACCCCGCACACGGACTGTGTGGATGCGGCGAGGGCCAATCTGGAAAACAAAAGGGGACAGGAACTAGGGTTACCAAAGAAAGCAAGGCAAGAGAGGGAGAGGAACCTGGGCCGGGAGGAGGCAACAGTCAGTGTAACTATGACATGTCCTAGCATTGGCAAGTGGCACACAAGTGACCAAGACGGCCACAACCACGCCTAAGGATTCTTTTTCATCACCCTACTTGCCTCCAAGAGGAAAACCTGACCCCAAACTCTGAAAATTAAGCCTCTGTAAAAAAACAAAAGACCAGGCTTCTGACTATTACGCGAGGCACCGCCCTCTCCAGAAGCTGAAGTCCCCACACAGTATCCATCTGAGACCCTAAGCTCCGGGGACGGGGGCCTGAGGGAGCGAGCATTCCACTTTGGTACTTATCTAACAGGCAAATGCGGGGAGGACACCCAGGCCTTACTACAGAAAGAACGGACAACCGTCACACGGAGACCCGAGAACGCTGGAGAGCAGGGGAAGGCAATCTCCGGGTCGGCCAGGCACACGCCCGCACCCACCTTCGTGTTGGCAGCCGGGCGCCCCAACTCATACTTCCGCTTCTTGTGGTAGGGCTTTCTCTTGCCCCCGGTCTTGCGGCGCTTGTGCCAGTTGTCCCGAGAGATACCTGCATGTGGAAGCGGGGACGGAAGCTTGAGTCGGTGTTAGCGACTCGCCAGCTCCGGAACCCCGCGCCTGGCGGGCCGCACGCTCAGCTCTCCAAGGTTGGCTTCCCCACCGCGCAGTCGGGAGTCTGCAGCATCACGGAATTGTCATCATACACGTGCGGCCCGGCCAGGGCCTACTTCTCGTGCGGCAGCCATGTTGGCGCCGCTTGGAGCCCGCAGCCCGCAGCCCAGAGCCCGGGCCCTTCGCAGCCCCCAGAGAGAGGCTCGGTGGCCGAAACCCGAGGGCTGCTCCTCCTAGTGGCTTTTCCTGGCCGGGGGTCGGGGCACCTGGACTCCTCAGTAGGCTGTGAAGCAAGATGGGGCCGGATTGAACTCACCCCCCGAATCACCCGCCTCTAAGCAGAGGAACACTCACCCATCGCTCGGCGCTGGCTGGAAAGAGAAACCGCGCAGACTCACGGTCCGGTTTGTAAAACGCTGCCCCGCCCCCACCTCTACGTTGTTTCTGAGCGCCGAAACAACGTCGGGCGACGAGACTTACGTGTCTACTGCTGCGCCTCGGGCTGGAGAAGGGCGCTTGGGCTGTCGACCCCCTGCTAACCCCCGTCAGACCTTGGGCTGGAGGAGGGGAGTCTGCGGCATCTGCAGATGCGCGCTTGTTGACTCCTTTCAGAGGCTGCTGCAGTCGTTTACGATGAGATGTGGATGCGGCTGCGTTGGAAAAGGGTGGAAGGCAGTGGAGCTGGAAACGAGTGTGGACTTGGTTTTGTTTTGAAGGGTTTGGTGGTAGATTGGCCATGGGGATTGAGGGAGAGGGCAGTGTCAAGGATTTTTTTTTTTTTTTTTTTTTTTTTTTTTTTTTTGGTTTTTTTTTTTTTTTTTTTTTTTTGAAACAGTTTCGCGTTTTTTGCCCAGTCTGGAGTGCAGTGGCGCGATCTCGGCTACCGCAACCTCCTTCTCCCAAGTTCAAGCGATTCTCCTGCCTCAGTCTTCCGAGTAGCTGGGATTGCAGGCATGCGCCACCACGCCCAGGTAATTTTGTATTTTTAGTAGAGACGGAGTTTCTCCATGTTGGTCAGGCTGGTCTGGAACTCCTGACCTCCCAGAGTACTGGGACTACAGGCGTGAGCCACGGCGCCTGGCCAGTAAGGATTCTTAAAATTCTCACTTGATCAGTTGGGTAAATATTGGGACCATTTACTGAGATGGGTTAGGCCTAGGTAGGAGCTGTTCTGAACACGTTCATTTTTGTAACTGGGAAAGGCAGGTAGGAAGCTGAATATTCATGACTGGTCATCTTTATAAGGGATCTGCACTGAAGATGTTATTTTGGGAATCGCTGGTTTATAAATGGTAATTAATTAAAGCCACCAAAATGAACGGAACTTAAGAGTTTGGACCAGCCTGGCCAACATGGTGAAACCCTGTCTCTCCTAAAAAATAAAAAAAAATTAGCTGGGCGTGGTGGCGGGTGCCAGTAATCCCAGCAACTCTGGAGGCTGAGGCAGGAGAATCGCTTGAACCAGGGAGGTGAAGGTTGCAGTGAGCCGAGATGGCACCGATGCACTCACTTCAGCCTGGGTGACAGAGTAAGACTCCATCTCAAAAAAATAAAATATACAGGCTGGGCATGGTGGCTCACGCCTGTAATCCAAGCACTTTGGAGGCCAAGGCAGGTGGATCACTTGAGGTCGGGAGTTCAAGACCCGCCTGACCAACATGGTGAAACCCCATCTTTTAAAAAAATTAAAAAAGATATATACAATTAAGTTACTATTGATTATAGTCACCATGTTTTGCTATCAAATAGTAGGTTTTATTTATTCTGACATTCAATTTTTGTACACATTAGCAATGCCCGCTGCCCTGCTACCCTCCCACTACCCTTCCTAGCCTCTGGTAACCATCCTTCTGCTCTCTAGGTTTATGAGTTCAGTTGTTTTTTTAGATCCTACAAATACGTGAGAACATGCGATTCTCTGCATACGTTTGTCTTTCTGTAACCAGTTTATTTCACTTAACATAATGACCTCCAGTTCCACCCATATTGTTGCAAATGACAGGATCTCATTCTTTTTTATGGCTGAATAGTAATCCATTGTGTATATGTACCACATTTTTTTCTTTTTCTTTATTCTGTTTTTATTT